TAGAACAGTAAGAAACCTTGCAGTATTTTGGCATAAGATGTGACTTACAGCTCCGTCTAGGGGTGATGAAGCATCAGGACAACAGAGAGTGTAATGCTGTGCTGTACCAGTGCACTGCAAACTAAGGTCTGGTTTTGACACAGGAGATGCTTAGGAGGGGGAAAACTTGGGTTACAGGAATACAGGTCATGAATGAAATACCCTGCTTACCAGGCAGGCTTCTGGGGCTCCAGGTACAGTCAGTCTTTTCTGCGTGGAGATTCTTGAAACATTATGCAGTGGCATGGTCCCCGGGAGTACTGTGGACTAAAAACACACTAGCGACTCAAAAGGAAAATGTATTTTAGTTAAACATAACAGAGGCTCAGTGATGTGGTTTTGGTCGCTGGTAGATTGAGGAATGTTGGTGGAACCAGGGTGCTTTCACCAAAAAAGCAGATTAAAACTGCAGAACATAAGCTGTTAATATTTTTAAGAGGAGATCCAGCCTTTTGTTGTAGGTCTAACAGTCAAACTTGAAGATTCAGAAAGCTTTGAAGGACTGTATGCTCGCTCTGGAAATGTTCTCCTTTTGTTCCTATATTTGTGACTGTACTTGAAGATAGAAATGGCTGATGTTTCTGACTCCCCCTCCTTCTATTCCTTCTCTTCCTCCCTGCCCATGTGCATGAGTTGAACGAGCTAATGTGTTGTCCATTGCAGTTTGGCCAGGTTAATGCCGCATGTGCATTCAGCTGCCATGCCTCACATTGCAAGTGGTGGCGAGGGGCCTGTGACTGGCATTGCTTTGAGCTCAGCGAGCTGCCGCTTGAGCCTCAGTAACAGCTTGTGCACTTTCTTTCTGCTAGTCTGCCCCAGCTGTCAAGCAAATGGTGTTGGTTCAAGCACCCTTTATGGGTATGAGAAATGAAATTACATTAAATGATGTGGAAGTGGTTAGAGACTTCATATTAAAGCTGAAGGGACTAGATATGAAATCTTGGTTGCTGAGTAATCATTCTGCAAGTAGCATGTACAAAATCATGCTGGTAACAGTCTATTTTACTCTTATTTTACAATTTAAGCCTCTGAATGACCGGCAGTTATGCTATTCCAGGAAAGGAAAGGAAAAGTCTCCCTGAAGCGACTAATCCATCAAGCCACCTTCCTGCAAAGCAGTGTCTCCCACAGGAGCTGTCTCTGGGCACGTGGCTTTCTTTTTGGGGGCCTTTGAACACTTTGTCACAGCAGAGACCTGTATGTTTTTGTAGTGTGCTTTGGTTGAATATGAGAGGTGATTTCCGCATTTTGGGAATTACTTCATTTATTTTGAGGATTATCTGGCCCCACACGTTCACTTTGCCACAAATGGCAAAGGTCCAGCTGGGGGAGGAATGAAATCTTCTTGAGAAGCTGAAGCTTCTGATTTGAAATCTTCTAGTGCTCACTGGGAACAGTGGGTGGCCTTTTCTTTCGAGCCTCCCCATTTTCGATATCTGTTGACTTGACTCTCATCTTCATTCATCCTGACTTCTGTGAAAGAAAATCTCTGGGGAAAGTTGTTGGGATTTGGAAACTGTGGTAACAGGGTGTGTGGCTGACTTGCTGGTGGAGCTGCTGACAGGAGAGTTTATTCATTAGAAAACAAAGGGAATATTTCCCAGGTACTGTTAAGATATCACGAAGATGTATCTTCTTGACATCATGTGTATTAGCTTGCCTCCCAGGTGGTATGAAAATATTTGTCCAAGATGTATTCAGTAGTTCCTGATGTTAATCCTCCAAAAACTAGGTAATTACTAGAAAGTGTTGTCTTGTGTACCTTATTAAGAGATTGGTAGTGCAATAAAGTAAAACTTACCTATGGTGGAACTACATTTAATGATTTTTTTTGGACTCACTAGGTAAAACTTGTCGATTACTTGTTGTTAATTGCTATTCAATCTGTTTCCCTGTAAATATCTGTAGGTTCAGAGGAATAAATTCTCAAACTATTCCTCTGAGATTTATTTCCTCAGCACTTTCTAAGTGTGTGCTGGTGTCCCAGAAGTTCCAAAAACTCAAACTGAATAGTCCACTATTTGAATCTCTCTTAAAAATTATTAGTGCTGGTACCTAGTGTCAACAGAAGTTAGCTGTTGGCAGACTGCTATAATCCTTATGCAGATCTTTCTGATTTACAACTGCATGTGAGAGGAATCCATAGGTATTTTTCCATATCACCTGTTGTAGGTTATTTTGATAGTTGAGAAGTCAATGTTCTCAAGCACGTAAGTTGTTGTACAGTATAGGACACAAAATTATTCTAGCAAGATAAAGAATACATTTCAAATCCCTTTCCACAAATAAATTTATTTGTGCTGATTACTCCTTTGTGCTTTGATGGCAAAAGTTGATCCCATTCTGTCTTTTTTCGTTAGAAGCACCAGATTGCCTGTAACCATTTTTGTAGTATTTGCATTAATTCTGCAACTCTGTAACAAGAGTAGAGCAGCTGTAATGCTCATACTTGTAGAAGCTTGAAATCACTGAAAATCAGTTGTAGTAAGATATGTACTTGAGAAGACATGTCTTTCAAGTGTTCACTAAGTCCTGACAACAGAAGTTTACACTTAATAGATAACATCTAATTCTGGCGTGCGCTCATGATAAAATAAGACTGCAAGTCCTGCAGACATCCTGCAGCACCCATGTTTTTGTGGTAGCAATAGCCCCCACACATACATATCACAAGCATGCAGTTAGACCCACATGCGTAGCGAACAGTGAGTTTCACTGTGTTATTTACATGTAACTTAGGCATGTGGTTTTTATCACTTTGTATTTCCATTAGAAGGAAATGGTTTAGCAGTATGCTGTGGTAAAAAGCAGGACGGCTGTGGTCTAACTGTCCTCAGCTTATCACCCATTCTCATCACAGCCCACCTCCTCTGAACCAGTTGTGACTGGTTCAGTTTACAGGGTTTTTCCACTAAATAACCAAACCTTCCTGTAAACAAACGCCCCAGCACCCAGAAGCCTTAAAAATCCACTTGTCCTCTTATTCAGGCTAAATAAATAAAAATTAAAAACTTAGTACAAACAGTATATGTCTGTATAAATGAACTTCAGGGACATGTGAACTGTTGCAGATGTAAAATCTGCAACCATGTGCTTGAGAAACCCCAGAAACTGTGAGGTGATAGCTATGCTCTGCATGGTTTAGGGTTGCATATAGGCAGGGTTTTTTGTGCAAAATGCTGAAAAAGCTGTGTTTTCTCTCTGTTTTCCTGCGCTGCATGGACAGCATCTTTCAGTTTTGTGTATGAGGCATGACAAGTGGATTTGGGGATCATTTTAGTGAAAGAGATCTTGGTTCATTAATGCTGTCAAGTGTTTCTCTAGCAGGGATAAAGATAAGGGAGACCAGGACAGTAATATCAGTGATGCTACTGAAATCTAAAGTAACTGCATTCCAAAAATACCTTTGTAGCTATTTTATTTCACTTTGATTGGAACCAAGCCTTAACAAATAATAGCATGGAATATCAGCTGTTTCTCAAAGAGAGTTTGACTAAAGGCTAGACATCGCAACCTTCTTCGCATTGAAAAGTAACATGGTATTGAAAAGTAACATGACATTGAAGGCAGTAATTAGTTTCATTGGCTTCAACATGCAGATTGTAAAATAGCTTGTAAGATACGCTGTTAGTAAAATAGAACTGAGCCTGACTTATGCTCTCCTTCCCTTGCAATGGCGTGAGCCCTAGAAGGCAGTCCTGTTGTAACAGCGCTGCATTTCCCCTTGGCTTAGCTCTTCAACAGAAAAGATGTAATGAGCTAACTTTTGTTGTTCTGTGTAAACGTGTTCCTGTTTAATACATTGAAAAGCAGAAAACTGATGGTTTTAAGGATCTTTGATTTTCTGAGGAATTTGTATGAACAGAGAAATGAGTCAGGTTTTCTGGCCATCTTGGTACGTGCTGTGGAAATGCTGGAGAACAAACACAGGCCTCACAAATGCACCTGGATGAAAGCTTTTATTGCTCATACATCATTACAGATACAGTGAGTGTAAATGCTGCAGGCACTTATCTCCAAACTTATGGCAGTGTTTTGCCCCAAACTGAGCAAATGCTTTATGCCAATATGTCTACTTCCGATTTTTCTACAGATATTTGAAAGGAGCTAATTTGTGGAACTTGGAGATGAAGAGTTCAAAGTCCAACATCTGAGAATTTTTCCTCTGTTGTGAAAACACTTTCTCTATCGAAGCTTCAGGTTTAAGGTTTTGCTCAACCTAAAAAGGTATCTCTAAACAAGATGATGTTCATGATCATTACAATTGTTTTCTTTCTTTAAAAATACAATGTGCAGGTTTTCAATCTGTGTCACAGTGCTGGTGTGGGGCCTGGTGGATTTCTTCCATTTTTGTACATGTGCACCTTAGAATTGCTTTTATGCTTATCTAACTTCATTCAAAATATTATGTTCACTTCTTAAAATTGTGTTTAATTGACTCTTAAAGCACACATCACTTCAGAATATTTAAGTCCTGATTTGTTGGATACATGAGAGTTGCGATAAATCACCAAAAGTAAAAATGAACAAATGCCTGTGAATTTACA